ATTGGTTGTCGGTAACCTCACCTTGTTACACATGCTCTCATTGGAAGTAGTTTAGTTGTATTAGTAGACAGACATGGGATCCTCTGCGATCACCTAGAACCTCTGCGTTCACTTGTCATTAGTCTTTGAAGCAATACCCACCACGGCCACTGTCGCCAACACACCATATTTGAAAAGAGGTAACCTTATTGTAAAAATAATATCATCCGCATCGAGCCGGATTCGCCAAGTTGAGAAGTTTGCCTGGCTATTAATTGCTGTTTCTTGTTCTCTTTTTACAAAGAAATCATCTGCAAAACACACATCCCCTTTCATTAATCGCACCACGGCATCAACATCATCCTATTCATCATCATCAACATCAAAAAAGGTACGTAAGTTCAGTGAATTTTGTTTTTGTGAGCTTAGAGTGCTTTAATTTTTGAAAAACAAGTAAAAGAGTGTTAGTTTTTGTTTGCTTCGCGGTACTGGTCGCCTTTGTTTTACCCTTAGTCGCGGTATCCTTAAATTTACAGTCCACAACAATTTTATTTTGCTAAAGAATCTATTAAAGATTCCTTTAAATCGAGATTTATTCGCATTATTTTCCATTTTATTGCGAAATAATCAAATTTCCCGGTTAATTTGTGTTTAATAATTCGAATTTATCAACAAGAAATATATTTCTGTTTATAAAATAATCTGCCGCTGTAGTGTGCATAATTTCGTGTTCGGTTATTGCAATATTCCCCACACATTTGTCGAGTGATCTCTTTTACATCTCATCAATTCGGTATTACTCTCAACGAGAATAAAATCACCCACATTGCAAACCTAACCAACAACTATAACAACAACTTATTTATTCTACCAACTCTCACTGTTGGTTCGTCGTCGTTGGTTAGTTCGAAGCGAGGCAGTTGCTTACCCACACAATTTTTTGTCACCCTACATTCGGCATATTATATGTACATATCATTGTGCTCCTTTGCGAGAAAAATATCAATATTTTCGTAACTTATCTTTCGGTTAGTAATTGTCCCAGTGCACATAGTTGCTATGTATGTCATGAAAATCATCATACCCTTATGCATAAACCTAATCGATCGGTGCCTACAAACACTGGTGCAAATCCGTCAAGTGTTTCACACATCGCATAACTCTCGAGTCCTTCTCGGTACCGCCATTGTTAATATTGTTCACGAAGGAAATTCTTATCCTGTTCGAGCCCTCATTGACCCGGCGTCGGAGGCTAGTTTTATAACTGAGAACCTTCAAAATAGATTGAAGTTATCGTCTCGATTCACTCCATAGACAAATGAAAATATAGACAACGAAATGCTCTCACCGTTCATCTTCGAAAAAAATCGGATCAGCAGATGTCGTCAATGTCGTTTCAGGGGTTTAAGTGGGAATCTTGAAGTCACTCAATTCAAAAATGTTAAAAAATAACAAAAACTGTAGGATATTTGTCAGTTGAAAATTATTTCATAATAAAAGAAATGTGAAAAGTACGTGATCACATCGAAAAATATGGGAATATTCCAGTGAAATTCTTGAAAAACGATAAAATGTGTTTTCGAAGTCGAGTGGCTTGAACGCGTAAATCAGCATGTTGACTATGCAAAACATGATGAGAGCCACCTGGATAAAAAGACAAAACTAACTTTTCGTTGTCTTTATTTTCATTTGTCTATGTCCACTCTTGCAACCATTTCTGGTGTAAATGGTTCGTCCTCCGCTACCTCCCGGAAAAACTGTCGGATTTGTATAAACTCTCGCTTAAGTGCTTCAGTTTTGTTGAAAACGGATGCTTTTGTGCTCCCCAAGATTTCTAGCAACCTTCCATCGTTTTCGGTTGACCCTACTTTAGTTCGTTCTCTGCCAAATCTCCGGTTGGCAGATCCAAACATTTTTGACTGTCGTTCCGTAGATATGTTCCGCAAATATTGTTGCCGGGGGTACAACAAAATATATTAGGCTCTCTATTGGCGCAAAATACCCTTTTGGTTGCATCCTATCGGGTCCAATTCCCTCCTCAACCTTGCAGGTCTTTACGACCACTTTGAGCTACAGTGAGGAAACCATTCTGCGGTTTTGGGAACTTGAGGAGGTCCCTAAACGCCACTACTTTCGCCATCAGACAAGTTCTGCGAGGATAATTATCGGTCCACAACTACGAGAAATTCAGAGGGTCTTTACGTTGTCACACTTCCCATCCGTACTGAATTTCCTCACAGCCTGAAAATTGGTGATTCGCGTCAAAATGTTCTAAGTCAATTTTTTAGGAACGAAAATCGCTTTTACGCAATCCTTCTCTCAAAGAAATGTATTATGCAGTTGTTCGCGAGTATCTTGACTTAGGTCACATGTGCTCTGTTTCTCCCCATCCCCCAGTTGTCAATCTAGAAAAACAGACCTTCAATTTACGCGTAGTTTTTTATGCATCAAATAAAACTTCTACTGGTATAAGTCTAAACGACATCCTTCACGTGGGACCATCTCTCCAAGCAGACTTAGTCTTGTTAATATTGAGATGGCGCTTATTTCGGTTCGTGTTTAATTGTGACATCACGCAAATGTATCGTCAAATTCGCGTTCACCCACAACATACATCTCTTCAAAGAATTTTGTTTCGGGAATCCCCCAATGACCCCATTTCAGATTACGAACTGCAAACTGTCACTTTTGGAGTAAATTGTGCCCCTTATTTAGCAATTCGTACTTTGCTCCAACTTGCTGATTATTGTGAGTCTGAATATCCTTTGGTTTCAAATATCCTTCGAAAAAGTATGTATGTTGATGACGTCCTTGCTGGCGCTCATGACCTAGACACCGCTATTCTTGCTCGGGACCAGCTCATTGCTTCTTTGTCCACAGCTAAATTTGAGTTGAGAAAGTGGACTGCAAACGACAAATCTGTTCTTGCTAGTTTGCCCATTGACCATTTAGTTGACGCTCAGGTTCTTTCCTTTATAGAGGCAAGTAGTTCCAAACCATTGGGTATTCGATGGAATGCCAGTTTGGACTCGTTCTTTTTCTGTGTAAATCCCATCCCTGAAAAATCTAATTATTCGAAGCGGGAAGTTCTTTCACACATAGCTAAGTTGTTTGATCCCGTAGGTTGGTTAGCTTCCGTTTTAGTGGTAGCAAAAATTATTATGCAGAAGGTGTGGTTAGATAGCATCGGATGGGACGATCCGCTTCTTCTTGCTACAAAGAATTCTTGACTCACTTTTGTTGACAATTACCCTCATGTTAACTCGATTACAATTCCGCGTTGGGTTCGTTATGAACCAAACACCTTGGCAGAACTACATGTGTTCTCTGATGCTTCGGAGAAAGCGGGGGTAATTTATATGCGAACAAAAAATTCTCTAGGGGATATTAGTGTTCATTTGTTAGCCTCTAAGACAAGAGCAGCCCATATTAAATCGATTTCACTACCTCGCTTGGAATTATGTGGCGCTGTACTAGCGTCGGAACTCCTAAAGCCAATTTTGAGTGACTTGGACATTCCAATTAACAAGATTTACAGTTGGACCGATTCCACAATTGTATATTTACAAAATATGAAGATATTTTGGAGCGATTCTCATCACTTGATAGAGCGTTGCGAGTTTTGGCATATATGTACCGTTTCATTCATAAAACTCATCCCCACAATCGGCCTGCAAATTGTTTCACAAGTAAAATCCCAACCTCTGAAGAAATTAGAATGGTTAAGAATCATTTAGCCGTATTAGCACAGAAGTGTCATTGTGCAGATGAGTATAAGGATCTTTTGGATAAACGGCCTTTACCTTCCTCTAGCTCCCTTCTTTCTTTATTCCGTACAGTCATTAATCGTTGCAAGGTTTGCCGGCTAGAGAAAAAATCGATCGTGTCCGCAGATTATTGCTGCACTTCCTCCCGAAGAAACTTCGATAAATAGACCTTTCACTACAACTGGGATAGACTTTGCTGGGCCTTTTGATATTAAGTCATTTACAGGTCGTGCTTGTCGTATCACTAAAAGATACGTTTGTGTCTTTGTTTGTTTCACGACCAAAGCTGTGCATTTAGAGGCGGCGTCTGATCTATGGACGGCTTTATTTCTGGCTAACTAACTTGAATAAGCGTTACAAATGGAAATATCCGGAGAGAAATGTTGCAATCAATGATTTAGTAGTCATTAGGCATGAAAAACTTCCACCTACTTCTTGGAAACTAGGACGTGTAGTCGAGACACATCCCGGTAATTACGGTAACGTTCGCGTTGTAGACGTCCGAACTGCTCAGGGTATTGTTAGGCAACCCGTCGTCAAGTTAGTCGGGTTACATAATTAAGTCTGTTGTTTGCGAAATATACCTCGTTTGGATGGGTAATTTCGGGCCCCGTCAACCAACATGTAATTAACTGTTATTAGTTTAAAAAAAAAAACGAATTGAATTTAATAAAATGAAATTTGGTCATATAAACTGAACTTACGTCCTTGTAAATCTTATTGTACATATTTATATATAACATAATTCCTTTGAGCTTTATTTAGTTGATACACATGCATGTATATCAAGGTGGGCGGCAATGTATAAGTTTTTCCCTTGCTCGATCAATCACGGATGCTGATTGGCGCACATGCATCTCCTCTACAACTCCCCTGACGTAGACCGTAGTGAGCGGATCGTCGCTGGGCATTGGTTGTTGTCGGTAACATCACCTTGTTACAAATGCTCTCATTGGAAGTAGTTGTAGTTGTATTAGTAGACAGACATGGGATCCTCTGCGATCACCTAGAACCTCTGCGTTCACTTGTCATTAGTCTTTGAAGCAATACCCATCACGGGCACTGTCACAAACACACCATATTTGAAAAGAGGTAACCTTATTGTTGAAGTAAACTTACAAAGCAATTCAATAAATCAGCAGACTTACTGAGAAAAGAAATTAATACTACTTGTTTTATTTCCTATTTTGTTTTTCTTTTCCTCCCTTGCCCATCTCACAAACAAACACATACATTAGTGATAACTTACTACAATTTTTAAATTATAAGCAACAATAAAATAAACATTTATTATTCCAATATTATAGTACAAAATAAATTTACTTATACGTGGTTTCTTGACATTAAAAACCTTTTTAAATATTCTACAACATACATAGTTTGTACATAACATACAAAAGAAATACAAACGGAGGAAATAATTTTGCTTATTTGGTTATTCTGTTTTGGTTAGAGCTCTCTTTTGTATTTTATCTACAGGTTTAACGTCACCATTATTGAGCGATTTTTGGCTTTCCGAACTTTCAGAAATTTCGCTGTCGCTCGATCTTATATCACCAGACATCTGTAAAGGAAATGAATAATCAATGAGACTGCAATGTGTTCTTAAATGAAAATGCTCACCAATCCCTTTTGTAAAGAATCTATTACAATCTTAAGTATCATGTACGTCCAAACAATGTGAAGGGCAAGCAACATAATGAGTAAACTGTTGAAAATGTAATACGCTGGGAACATTGGAAGAATCCTTGGCGCTTCAATTGAAGAACTAGAAAAAAAATTGAGTTCATTTGTATATATATATCTATATATATAAATGTAAGTTGTGTTAGTTACTACGCTTATAACTTAAGAACCGCTGGACTGATTTTAACAATTCACACAAATTAGGAGTTGTCTCCTCTCCGAAAAGGATAATATCCAAAAAAATCGCGTAAAAATGTGATATATTAACATTTTCATTTTGACTTTTCAAATGTACAATAGTAATGTTTTATTTTGCATGATTTTTTTCTATTTTGACTGGCTTTTTTCTAATGTACATTTGTAGTGTTTTTTATTTTTTATTTTTGAATTCGAATATTAAAACCAATTTATTTAATTGACTTGATTTCTTGAGAACTGAAATTGATGGCGGGTTACATGGAAGTGTAATACCGAATTATATGGTGGCGAAACGGAATAGGTGATATCGAAATAATTTAACGCGGTCACACCAAAAGAAAGATAATTATTAATTAAAAGATAATTACTTTTTCAAATTCGCTAAAAAATCACGAAAAAGAGATCTCATTGCAAAAATTCTCAAATCGGGAAAAAATCGAAAAGATTTTCAGTGGAATCGAATTTTAAAAAAATAGTAAGGGTCTTTAAACATTTGCTGTAATAAATCAGCGAACAAGTTGAAGATTTTTTCAATTTGCTATTCTTCTTTTGTCATTTTTTTTTAATTTGTATTTGCGAACACATTTAAACAACCAAAAATGACAGAAAAAGCCTAATGGAGCTCATTTCAAAGCGTGGACCTACTTCTTTCATATGACAATAATCCGTCCAATGAGAGCTCAAAATGCAAAATTCTTTGGAAGTACAATCAGTAAAATACCAAATTTAAAGGGTGCAAAATAATAGAGCGAATGGGACTTTTAGTAAGAAAAGGATTTCTATCCTTCCAGGAATTCTTCCCAAACATTCAAGATACCTTAAATCACTTTTGCAGGTCATGATATCGATCATAACTCACGGATAAGGGTACAACCCGATTTTATATTTATATAACCATCATATGATTTAAGCTATTTTTGGGGTCTTGGCCACTTTTTTCATATTTTGGCCCTTATTTGGCATCTTTGTCTCTAAGGGGTTAGGGAACCATCATACAGATAATTGCCACATAGGAATTTATTTAAGTAAAGTCCCCACATTGGAGTATCCCCAAGTCCTCTTTCACATATAATGTGTGGTCAGAAAAGAAAATTTTGTATTCTATTGAATTTGTAACTCTCAAGAGAATATTGGTTGGAAACGTAGATTTGGGAAATACATCTATATAATAATATGGTGGATAAAACTATTTTTACTCATTTAAATCACGCGGAATGTTTTTCAGTTTGACATGCTATGTTGTTCTGTTAAATTTTTGATTTGGTCTCTATTTGTCATATTGGATTATAAGGGCTAGAAGAATGTTTTCAATGTAGGTCGATGTCTCGGAGTAGCGCCCATGTAAAAGTATCTCCTGATTTTACCATATTTCAAAGGATTTGGCTAAAAATGTGTATTTGGGGGGTGAAAACTTACACAAAAATATGAACATATCTACAAATTTTAGAATTTTTTCCATATAATAGTACCCCCTCAAGTCCACTTTTTGGCGGACAAACAGACCGACATGGTTAGGGGGACTTATAAGAACGCTAATGGACAATCTGAGGTGCTAATGGCTTAAAAAAGTAATTAACTTTGGCTATTCTTAATTCATTCAGCGCTCAATTATGAGGTGTACAAAATACAGCAAATTCCAATTTACTGCTCATTTCACTGGAAGATTTTGCTACGATTTTTACCATACTAAAAATTAATTTGATCCCTTACATGGGGATAAGATTGATATATACTTTTTAATAGATTTGTATAGCACATCCACACCTTTGAAGCCCACGGCTTAAATATGGGTACAGGTATTTTAAAACACTTTTAATCGACCAGTACGGGAACACTTATATCAGTCATATCTGTGAATAATTATGCTTTGACAAATATGCATAATAGACAAAAACTACGGGGCCAGCTAGTATTTATATATATTGCAAAATAGTAGATTGAATTTGAAATTTGATAAGAAAGAGATTTATATCCTTCCAGAAATGCTTACTTAAAGTTCAAGATAACTTACACCACTTTTGTAGGCCATTATATGGGTCATAACCCTCATATAAGGGTACAACCCGATTTTAAGTATATTTTACATTTTTATTATATATTTTTCATACTAATCTCGGCAAATGTTGGTAATTTGAGAAGAAACCATCCCTGCAAAAACTGATCACATTTTGGTATAACCATCGTATGATTAAACTATTTTCGGGATCTTGGCCACCTTCTTTCATTTTTTCTTGCTCTTATTTGTCATCTTTGTTTCGTAGGGTGTAGAAAACCTGTATTGTTTGTATTTAGGATATGCTGGGGTAGTCAACCATCTTACAGGTAATTGTCCACATAGGCATTTATTAAAGTATAGTCCCCACAATAAGTGTACACCCAAGTCCACTTTCCAAACTAATGTGTAGTCAGAAAATGCAATTTTGTATTCCATTGAATTTATAACCATCAACAGAATAGAACGTAGAATTGGGATGTACGCCCATAAGAAATAAGCTCCAATATGCCAAATTATATAAAAATAAAAATACGAATATTGGAAAGAAACACCGTACAGAACATTTGTTTAGTCGCTATTGAATTATACTATGATAAAAAATATGAACTTTATATATATATATATACTAGCTGGCCCGGTCCGCGTTGCCGGCCCGTAGTTTTTGTCTATTATGCATATTTGTCAAAGCATAATTATTCACAGATATGACTGATATAAGTGTTCCCGTACTGGTCGATTAAAAGTGTTTTAAAATAGCTGTACCCATATTTAAGCCGTGGGCTTCAAAGGTGTGGATGTGCTATACAAATCTATTAAAAAGTATATATCAATCTTATCCCCATGTAAGGGATCAAATTAATTTTTAGTATGGTAAAAATCGTAGCAAAATCTTTCAGTGAAATGAGCAGTAATTTGGAATTTGCTGTATTTTGTACACCTCATAATTGAGCGCTGAATGAATTAAGAATAGCCAAAGTTAATTACTTTTTTAAGCCAATAGCACCTCAGATTGTCCATTAGCGTTCTTATAAGTCCCCCTAAGGGGGCTACTATTATATGGAAAAAATTCTAAAATTTTTAGATATGTTCATATTTTTGTGTAAGTTTTCACCCCCCAAATACACATTTTTAGCCAAATCCTTTGAAATATGGTAAAATCAGGAGATACTTTTATATGGGCACTACTCCGAGACATCGACCTACATTGAAAACATTCTTCTAGCCCTTATAATCCAATATGACAAATAGAGACCAAATCAAAAATTTAACAGAACAACATAGCATGTCAAACTGAAAAACATTCCGCGTGATTTAAATGAGTAAAAATAGTTTTATCCACCATATTATTATATAGATGTATTTCCCAAATCTACGTTTCCAACCAATATTCTCTTGAGAGTTACAAATTCAATAGAATACAAAATTTTCTTTTCTGACCACACATTATATGTGAAAGTGGACTTGGGGATACTCCAATGTGGGGACTTTACTTAAATAAATTCCTATGTGGCAATTATCTGTATGATGGTTCCCTAACCCCTTAGAGACAAAGATGCCAAATAAGGGCCAAAATATGAAAAAAGTGGCCAAGACCCCAAAAATAGCTTAAATCGATATCATGACCTGCAAAAGTGATTTAAGGTATCTTGAATGTTTGGGAAGAATTCCTGGAAGGATAGAAATCCTTTTCTTACTAAAAGTCCCATTCGCTCTATTATTTTGCACCCTTTAAATTTGGTATTTTACTGATTGTACTTCCAAAGAATTTTGCATTTTGAGCTCTCATTGGACGGATTATTGTCACATGAAAGTAGTAGGTCCACGCTTTGAAATGAGCTCCATTAGGCTTTTTCTGTCATTTTTGGTTGTTTAAATGTGTTCGCAAATACAAATTAAAAAAAATGACAAAAGAAGAATAACAAATTGAAAAAATCTTCAACTTGTTCGCTGATTTATTACAGCAAATGTTTAAAGACCCTTACTATTATTTTAAAATTCGATTCCACTGAAAATCTTTTCGATTTTTTCCCGATTTGAGAATTTTTGCAATGAGATCTCTTTTTCGTGATTTTTTAGCGAATTTGAAAAAGTAATTATCTTTTAATTAATAATTATCTTTCTTTTTCCGTTTCGCCACCATATAATTCGGTATTACACTTCCATGTAACCCGCCATCAATTTCAGTTCTCAAGAAATCAAGTCAATTAAATAAACTGGTTTTAATATTCGAATTCAAAAATAAAATATAAAAAACACTACAAATGTACATTAGAAAAAAGCCAGTCAAAATAGAAAAAAATCATGCAAAATAAAACATTACTATTGTACATTTCAAAAGTCAAAATGAAAATGTTAATATATCACATTTTTACGCGATTTTTTTGGATATTATCCTTTTCGGAGAGGAGACAACTCCGAATTTGTGTGGATCGTTAAAATCAGTCCAGCGGTTCTTAAGTTATAAGCGTAGTAACTAACACAACTTACATTTATATATATAGATATATATATATATATATATATATATATATATATATATATATATATATATATATATATAATTTGAGGTTTTCAGAGTAGGGCCCATATTGGTCTTGACCACCTGGGGTAGGGAACCATCATACAGATAATTGCCACATAGGAATTTATTTAAATAAAGTCCCCACATTATTGTGTGGTCACAAAAGAAATTTTTTTTGTAACCCCCAAGAGAATATTGGTTGGGAACGTAGATTTGGGATGTACTATTATGAAAAATATGAACTTTATGGGGTCTCCAATTAGTAATTATATTTGACTATTCTGAAATCGTTCTGCCCTCAATTATGACGTGGATAAAACGATTTTTACTTATTTAAATCACGGGAAATTTTTTTCAGTTTGACATGCTATTTTTTTTGATTTGGCCTCTATTTGTCATCTTGGATTATAAGAGGTAGAAGAAAGTTTTCAAGGTAGGTCGATGTTTTGGAGTAGTGAACATATAAAGGACTTATGAGGATTCTAATGCACAATCTGAGGTGCTAATGGGTTTAAAAAAGTAATTAAAATATTTTAATATTTAAAAAGTAGACCTAATTCGAATTGGTAATTAACAATATATGAATGGAAAAGCGTAAAAATATTCCACATTTGAACCCCTCCAATCGGCAGACACCAGAGTTCGAAATGAAATGATTCATTTTTATGCTTTCGTTCTTTCATTGCTTTTGACATGAATTAATTCGACAATATGAACTAAAGTCGTTTTTAGAGCCGTTACATGTCAAGAAATAAAATTGATTTGTTTACTGTTCGTTCACATTCTAATGCAGTGCAAATAATGGAGGTCGAAATATAAAAAAACTGATAAGTGCGGCAAATATTTTTGCTTAATGTAATCTGACTTCGCCACAATTTTATAACATACTTTTGTGTTTTCTGTTGGAAAAAGTAAATAATAAACTTGAAATAAAATTTTCCACTATAAACCCATTTATGTTAGTACGATAATTCGTATGACTCGCTATATTGGTTGTGAATGTTAGATGACATCAAGTGTTGACAAGCAACATTTAATTAACACAGAAAAAAAAACTAAAACAGATCAGCAATATGTTCTTTATATGCCTTAGAAACTTTTTTTGAAAGTCCATGTTATTTAATTAATTCCATTGAAAATTTATTGACTATGACAAAAATGTTGTTTTATAAATTTACATTGTTGTTTGAAAATAAACCTTTTAAAAATTTGCCTTGAGTGAAAAATATAAAATGGAATTTTACAAAAATCATTTGTTGCAAGTGCTTTCATATTGAACATTTTACATATTAAAAAACTGCAATGCCGTCAAATGGTGTAAAATGTCCGGGGCTCTACTTCACTCCCAGTAACCTCAACATTTTTATCTACGAATAGCATAAAAAATGTAAAGAGAATTGACTGATATAAATCGTCTCTAAGGAGGGTATGCCATTTCAAACCTACGAATACTATTCAAAAAGTAAAACAAAAGATCTATTCTTTAAACGGCATGCATTGTATGTGTTTGTTTTCTCTTTCGAGACGAGCTTAATGATCTGAAATTTGCAGTGAAAAGGAAAGCCAGATAGATACTATCACACACTCACCACTATGCGACGCGTTTCGCCGTTGGTTAAGCGGCTCATCAGGCATATTTGGTGTGGATGATGGCTTACAAGGGCCGTTCTCTGGAAAGTAGTATATATTTCGAACTTATTGCAAATCAGCATATGTGAATTATTCACTAGAAACTCTCCAGGTTCGACTCACGTTCTATTGGCAGATCTTTTTCACAGCAAAGTTTTGTTTGTAGTTTGAAGAGGATAAATTTGAAGAAAATGTATGTAAAAATAAGGCTGATCAATGCCGTCTTTTTCGAAGTGATATTTTTTCAATGAAATAAATATAACATTCATTATTTTTCATGAATTTTGCGTTTTAAATTGATCTCAAAGAATTTATCAACCAAAGCAAGGTTCAAAGATCTTTTGAAAATTGAAATATTAATAGATTTTAGTAATAATCCATGTTCGTGTGAAATTTCACGAGTAACGCCGTAAATTCAGTTGGAATTAATAATTATGTGCCCTTCAACTGCAAACGATCGCAAATATCTCGGAAACTAATAGACTTAGGACTTTGGGAATGGTTCCATTGTGTCGAGGAACATTTTTTACACTAAAAGCAGCTTCAATATTAGTTGTATTTTATTTAAACACAGAGAATACAGCCTTAATTTCAAGAAGTAGGAAATTTTCCTGAAAATTGACTAGTGCCCTTCAACTTCAAACGATCGCAAATATCTCGGAAACTAATGGACTTAGGACTCTGGGAATGG